TACCGCGATGCTTCTTCAGTGAATGTCTTTCAGTTTTCTTCTCTCTCTCTCTCTCTCTCTCTCTCTCTCTTTAAACGTTTGTTAGGATATAAATATTCTACTTTCCAATTAATGCGCGCGAGAACACGAACTTCAGGCACGTAAGTGTTACAATATCGTATGAACAATTCAATTTACACGTGATGATAATTCTATACTATAATTCTATACTAATACTATATTTAGTATACCAAATCTTCAAAATATTAAACATAGGTAAACATTTTTTGGAATATCGTTTCTTTATTTTGAGTTTAAAATATGATAGCGAACGACTCGCGATCATATGTATATGTATATGTATATGCATACAATTCAACGTGCAATTTCATTGATGCATTAACTTCTGATACAGAAACATTCTCGCGCAAAAGTAGAAGTCAACGTGAATTTTCAACGAGATGTTCAAAACCGATGCTGCGTGAAAGTCAATAATAATTCTAAGCAATAAATATCATCAAAATGGCGGAAAGTTGCATTCACCAGCGATTACAGACAAATGAGTCATAACGCTGCGTTTTCTAACGGAACGTGGTATACAGTTTCAATTCATCGTCGCAAATAAGGCCATATGTATTAAAGCTACTTGTACATGTTACATATGTAACGTACACACTAATTATACATACATACATTTATATATATATAGTATATATATTCACAGTTCGATTCATAAGGCGACGGGACTAAGGTACTCTTATAAATTCATTGATCTTCGCCTTTCTTTCTTCTCACTAGTCGATTAACGAAAAAAAAAAAAAAAAAAGAAAACCATCAAAAAAATAGATAAATTTCTTTTAATTTTGTCGGACGATTACATCATTGATGTAAATAACAGATACAACTAGCTGATAATAAATGGGTACTTCTCTTGAAATAAATCCTCTGTGCTCACATGTGTGACACGTTTAACTAGGACCAATGCGTGACAGGATAAAACAACGTACACAGACTGATTACAATAACTAGAGGATCGGTAAACATCTGATTAAATACCTAACTTTTGTATCATCGAATATCCTATTTTCCACGATTGTACGCATTGGTTCTGTACATACAATACGGATTTGTCAAGATGTTAATCCTGAAAATGAAAAAAAAATGCCTTTCATTTGTTTCGACAAAAATTTATTTAAAAACTAGAAGCTATAAATACATAGCACAGGCCGTGTAAAAATCACAATTTCACTTGGAGACTGAAAAACCAAAACATGGAATGTTGTCGGTATCAGCGTTACAGAGGATCAATTTCTCGAACTAAAAAAAGATCATTCATTGTCGCTGCCCTATCGTTCGTTCTCTAGCTGTCGTTTCTATCTCGCTGAACTATAATCCCAAACTCATGCTCGTTAATATTTCGTTCTTTTTCAAGGGACAAGCCCTCGATGGCCGGAACTTTCATCGATAATGGCTTTCATCGCGGTGTTGACAGATCTTTCATCTTTCTTTCAAACTTGTACACGACACCGTAGAAGCGTAACGTGCTTGACTTCTTCCAATTTCCCTTTGAAGTCATGCAATCGGACTGGAAGGGTCTTAATTTCACTGGCAGATTTAATAGTCTCCATTGGCGATGTTAATTCGAGGTCAATTATGTGTGAACGCGATGGTGTCGCGGCAGAAAGTTCCGCTCTATATAAAAATGTAATTCTTTTTCGTCCGGCTATTGCGGTCCGAGTTAACGTTTAGCAATTTAATTAAGTGGCCTGATTAAATATCTGAGCTAACGAAGACAGAAAACGAATACTGATGAAATTCATTAATATACTACGTTTGTAGTAAGCAGTGAAAGTTTTCTTTCTTTCGAGTTTGAACTCTATTTGATATCTTTTCTTATTTTTTCTTGCAGGAGAAACACAATGCCGTTACTCTTGTTTTGAAAAATGAAGAAAAATATTTTCTACGAATATTAGACCGCTATTGAAACTAAAAAGAAAAATAAACGTTATTGTTTCTCGCAATAAAGGCCAAATGCAGAGATGCTGGTTGGTAACTGTACCAAAAGTACAATAAAAAACTGGAGGAGATCAATTTCACTTTCGCTTTTCTTCGATGAAAATCTTTAACATCGCGATTGTAATCAAAATGATATTCAGCAGACACGTTCATCGACAGAATTGAACTCGAGAAATCTACTAATTCATTTTAAATAGTTACTTGTGAGATTTACAGTGGCTGCAAAATTATTGGCACATACCCTTATTTTCCAATGAAATGTTTTTTTTTTCCTTTATGAAATTTTACATTTTACTTTTATATTATTAAATTTTAGTAGTCATATGAAAATAGTATTAAATGATATGTAGTTTAATATATTTGAACTTAATTAATTAAGACGTGAATGCCATGATAGATGGACTGTTGTGCCAATGTTTTTTCTAGTCACCATAAAAGTTACAAGTCGTTTATTACAAACATGCGATTTGATCTTATGATCCAATTATTCGTTAGTTAATAGGATTCTTGAGCTTCGTGTCAACAATGTCAGTTTACAAGTATCATCGCGAGTAACATGAATGAAAACCTTTGCTTTATCCAAAATCGATTGACCATTCAAGGCCATTTCCTTCACCAGGGATATATACATCTATAGAAAATGAACGATCTTCTAAAACAATAATTTTTACAGATATATTTCAAACGGATATATATTCGCATATAAGTACCTATGAAATTAAATTAAAATATAAAGATGCTAAGGGAAACGAGAAATATAAAGAAGTTTTAATAGTTATGGCGGATCCCGAATGGTCAAGTAATTTTCAAGGCTTCTGTCATTTTCATCAGGACTCCGAACTACCTACAATTAGTGCTCTAAATGTTCAAGGCCATCAGAAACACTGGACAGATTATTTGCGTGTTGTTTAACCGAAAGGATTAAAACGAACGTCTTTGGTATACCAGAGCAAATCCGAGGAAAAGAAAACAGGGGAACGAATGAGAGAGAAAGAGGAAGACGTTACTGCACGACGAAAGCCAACAGAATGATTAATCCGACAGTAACGGCGAGACTAATCCTGTTTGCAAGTGAAGTGGGTATCTCCGGCTGCTTCGGCGCGGTTCCGTCCTCCAAGTACTGGTAACTCTTGACTCCGGTTCTTGCTCTAACTACTCGATAGTTCGGTATGCTGGTATTAACCCGGTTGGTCAATATATTTTGCAGGGAGTTGGTGACACAATAAAAGTTGCCGTCTGCGTCGTATGCAAACGTATCCGGCCACTGCATTCTTTCATGATCTCTGGAGATCACTCTCTGGCCAGTGGCGAACGAGGCGGTTTGTTTAGTGTCCCACATAGCTACAGCATCGTCGGCCAAAAGTCCAAAGTACAACACTCCTTTCGCTGACATCATCATCCCGTCAGTTTGAGAGATTTTCCTCCCCAATTCTTTCACATGTTCATCCACGTTGCTCGTGTTGCTCTTCAATACCGATGTCGGTATAGAGTACAGATGGAAGGAAGACAACGGTGAGTAATAAACCTGTCTGTCCGTGCTACTTGCCGGCGATAGAGCAATCCCATCGACAGATATAGGCATATTAATTGGAGTCTTAGCGACCATAAATCTTACTGCTTCGGGTTTAGCTCTCATAGAATCGTGCCTAACTTTCCAGGAAGTGTTGTTGCTCAACGAATAGACAATTATACCTGGATCGTCCCGATCACTGTCTGTAATGTACGCCATGCCACCGTCCTCGTGGTCTAAGACAATGTCATTTAGATGGGCCGTACCGTGACGAGCTACTTGCGAAGGGAACTCGTAGATTCGTAAAACCTTGCCTTCATTCTCGAGATCGAGGATCACCAGCCGGGGTGGACAAATGGTCTTCACTTCTACAGAGAGAGGCGACATCTTTCCGGAATCGAGTACCCACATACGTCCTTTTGGATCAACCTCCATACTCTGAACGAACTGGAAGGCACTGCAATCGCCGATCTTCTGCATCTCCCAGCTGGGGAAAGCTTTCAAGTTAGGAGCGGTAGCCTTGTTCACTGGTGTTGTTGAGGTGACTGCCAAAGTCACTGGTACTCCGTCCTTCCATCTCGGTAGCGTCAGGTACATCTTGTCCTTCCAAAACTTGATACCGGCTATGAAATTGTTAGCTGCAACGTAATCGCCGTGGTCGATCGCGAACTGTTGTTCCTCCTCCGACGGCCACACTACATCGATCGAGCTCCATTGAAAGATTACCTGAAACGGCTCGTGGCACTTGGTCACGGTAACAAAAAGCAGCATGAACGCAGCAAGAATCTTCATTTTTCTACACTATATTCGACCACTTTGCGTTCTACAATCTGTCACAGTATAAAGTCTCACTTTTCCAACCTAGTCACGTGGCAGGAAGAGACGAAGACCCGTGGACTATCCAGTTGAAAACTGATACCCGGAACAGGGGGTGTTCGTGGCCCGGCAAGTGTCGCCAGAGATCCGGAAGAGCGTCTATTCTCGTCGACGAACCGGTGTGACGAATATTCCGTGCGTGCCAACTGTGTTGGCTGGCCTGCTTTTGTCAACCAACTGATTCCACACCGACTATTGGCTACCTAGTCGCGGTGTTCTGCCAAACGGTCTCTCAAGCCTGGCCCATCACGCGGAGACGTTCGCGGTTTAACTGACGAAGACGCGGAGCGTCGTTTAGAGAGGCGTCGTCTCCCCACCCGACGCCGTTGGATGTATTTACACACTACGAATCTGTGCACGTGCACACGCTACACGTGTGATCGTACGTGGATAGAGCGCGTATGGGTATTGTATGTGCAACAGGAACACCCAGCAAGGTATCCCCACTACCATATAATTTCCACGCGAGACGTAGGCTACGCTACTTAATCGTGCCGAGGATGCATCATGGAAATGCAAATTAACATTCTTGCTTGAATCAGTATTCGTCATTCGCCAACGACATTCGTGTCATACTTTGAGGTAACTTTTTATTGATCGGAGCGATTAATTGCGCTCCGGTTTAATAATTCCTCTTTTGCAATAATTCTAAAATAATTCTTTCTTCGGTATCTTTCCATGAATGAGTCACAAGATTTCAGGTACCACTCATTTTTGAGATTACGGAAACTAGGCTTGATATTTGCAGAATCGTTATTCAAATTGGAATTTCATTCTACCTATCGTTAATCTAATAGTCGATTTCGATCTTTACGCTATTACGTCATCTGTTTTAATGACATAAATCTCGACATTGACTCTTGACATTAAAAAACAAATGCATTCGTTATCAATATTCAAGGAAAAATTATTATCATTGTAATTTATTTCCTTTTTTTTTTTTAACACAACTTATTGATCTGAGATCAGATTAATTCCCCTTTAGTATCGTATGATCTTTTTCCGCGAAGGTTCATTGTTACGTTAAACGAAAGACGGTTGAGAATGGAATGGTATTCGGCTCAGAATTGTAAGGCCGGATCTGTTTGAAAAGGAAACGCTGAAAAGGGTGTTACGCTTAGAAAAGGCTGTTACGCTTCGCTTTATCTTGCCCAGGATGATCCCGAAAAATCGATTCAACGGCTGCTTCTTCGAATTGCCCCCTTGAATTGTGTTGCGCAGAATTCCGTTGGACTCGTTTTCTTTCTTGCTAAGGAAGGTCACTTGATCACAGGGTAGCGTGATTAAAAAACGAGTCGGATAGAATTTATAACTCACCGTAAGTATGTATATAGAGGGCAGTAAATGAACTTCTTGTACTCATGTTTTACAAACTGTGCTATCGATTTCAAAACAGAAGTGTCAATCGAAGATATTTTGTCACAATGTTAATATTTTATCGATGATGTCATCCAAGTGATCGCAGTGGATTCATTTTCTTGTTGCGTGGCATCCATTGATCTGAATCGAGGTGAATAAATCAACGATGCAGTACAACGAATAACGAATTGAGATCTAATATCCATCTTGCTCCAAGATTATTGTCGTATCAGAAATTTAGAAAAATTGAAAAGTTTATTGAATTCTGATTATTTCAAGTTGATTATTCTACAATTGTTTCATCTATTTCGTTCGGATCATTTGAATCACAGTCGTATTTTTTTGTATCAAATGGAACACACTGACTTCATCTTTCGATAAAAAATATTAAATCATCTGATTTCGCGTAATGCTCAAAAATAGTTCGTGTCAGCTACTGATATATGATCGACGGTTTTACGAGTCAATGAATGGGTGATGCGTGTCGTATTTTTGAAGCGCGCAGCACGTGAAAGGAGTAAAATGATGGTTTGGCAATCGTTCAAGTATCTATAAAAATCCATCAAGACTACAGAATTTACGAACACGTGTATGGCTCGCGACAAGAATTTTCTATCATGAAACCAGTATCTTTCCCTATGTAAAAAATGTGTGTTTTACACTGTACAGTATAATGAAGTAGGAAGTGGTCGAGCAAAAATTATCAGAAAGATCGTGACTTGAAGTTACGAAGAAATTAGATCCTTGTAACTTCAATGAATGAAAATTCTAATTCACTTGGCGTGACCAACAAACGAACAAAAATTAGGCAGATTTCAAAGGCCACCTGTGACAAAGACCTATGGAGGAGAGTTTTATTGGCCATTGGAACGATGGCGAACGAGGCATAACTGTTGACTCACGATCATATGATGTATAACATAATGTTATAACAGTAATAAAGTACGTGTGCACTGGTAGTATACCTATAGTGGATGTCGGCCATTTCAACATCACGGTCATCCAGATGCTTCCAGACGTTCTTCGGATCATTCATATTCATTGTTGTCATCCGTTGTAGAGTCTTGAGATATTCGCCACGTTTTTACAATTACATAATATACTATATGATTCGTTTTTTGTAATTCATTAGTATGACTATTACAGGAATGCTATTAATCAGACGTCGGTTGACTGTCGAGTGAAGTTTCACAACTACGTTGTTCCAGCATGAATAAGATTCCAACACTTTCCAAGATCCTCTTTGGAAAACCTTCCAGATATTTCTAATACATATTTCAGATTTCTTATGTAATATGCTCTCTCATCTAAACATCGCTGGAATATTTTCGACTTTTATTGCGAAGTCTGTAACAATCTTATTTTTGCATTACATTTTAGATTATACTCGCTACGTGATTTATTCACGAGGCAACCATCCAAAGTAAAATAATTCTTCTAAACCAAATAATTCTTCACAAGTCACTAGCAGACTAGATATTATTGGCGTGCTCGTTAATTCAACGACACCGTCATGCCTAGCGATCAAAAGTTTTTCCGTTTCATCGTTCATTGAGTTCTTAGCGAAACTAATGGTAGCTACTTTGACGAGTATCGCGGCAAACTATTTTCATTTCGAGCCTTGAACGTTCGTCAATGCATTGGTCGTCAAACATTGAAGACTAAGAACGGTCTTCAAAGTATTGGGCAAAAAAAAGTAATTGCGTTTCTTTCTAATAAATGGGCATATATCTTAAAATAATTTCATTTGCTGTGCAAGCTCACGAAATGTGCATGATAAAGAAACCTTGAAACTACGGCAGTGTCAGAATTCGTTTGCTAACTGATCAGAAAACTTGAAACTTCTTTTTCTTGAAAAAAAATCAGAACTATTTTTAACGAGGAATCATGAAGTTGCCTAAAAGATGGCGAAAGGTAATCGAACAAAATGGTCAATATATTGTCTAATAAAGTTTTTGTTTCCCATGAAAAATTCATTTGCCTTTCATTTGCCGACAAAAAAAAACGCAAGTTACTTTTTGGCTAACCTAATATTATTTTTTCGCTGGATTCGCATTCTATGTTTTGGATTTGCATGGTCCGACATGGTTATTAGTATCCTGGTGATAAAATTATTCTCACTCCACTAACTACTCTAATCTACAAATATTTTTAAACATTACAGGTACAGCTGAACACGGCCTTACCTAACTCCTGTTTCAAACTGCAGCATTGAAATTGTACTCATAGCGAAGAAAAACGATTAGGAACTATCAAATATATCTCGAGTATCCGGATGTCAAATTAACATGCAGAGAACTAAACTAACAAGAGGGTCGGAATTACAAATTTATGCTAATTGGCAGCTTATTAATATTGCTGATAGGATCGTGATTGACTAGTAGATACTGCGCCATTTTCAGCGCTTGGAAGTATTCAACGGACGTGTAAGAATGTATCTTTAATCGATACTCATCCCTTCTCGCGTATTATATGCTAACTGAGTTTCTATTTATTAGTTAGCTATTATTAATTGGCATGTTTGCGCTTTCATTAGGTAACGGTATTACTCTCTTCGATGAGTAAAACGGTGTATTGTGATTATGAATATCCATTTAAGATTGAATTCGCGAAATTTCTCTGAAATCGAAACTTTTCCGTTTAACCAATTGGAATTATGATTGACACATTGTGAATTAACACATTCTCCAAGGTACCCAGAAAATGCGTCTAACAAGTGGAAATCATCGCGCTAAAAATCATCGTGTTATTTCCTACCAACGTGTTTCTCAACGTCTGTCTTCGTCTCGAAATAAATACTGCATCTCTGCAACCTTCGGGAGACACAAACCACAAGATTTGTGTAGATCCTCCTCGCGAGATTTTTGTCGTAGAACCTAATGTTTTAAGTATTATAAGGATTCAACGTACACATCTTTCGTCATTTTGTTGCACCCACAATCGTGCCAGTTTTCTCTCTTTGCATCTACTAGCTAGCGCGAACCAAAGTGGCAAATCACCGAGATACATCAAATTGATAATTTGACTGATACCGTCAATCGAGAACTACATATATGCATAAGGCGAGTCGCTATGAATCACTTTAGCACTTCAAATACACAACATTTTTATCGCCTTTCTTCAAGTTGTAAATCAACAACATCTCGAGCATATTGACGAGCGTCTAGTACGTAAACTTGCTAATTTTTGCGGTTTGCAATTTATTACCGATATGTCAAGCAATGCGAACTTTCTGGAAAATAACCAGAATTAATACGTTAATAGATATAGTACGAACACTGAGCAGTACTGCAAATTGACTTGACTAATTATTCAGAGTTATGAATAAATACATAAACGCCATAACGAGTGTCCGTAGGCTTGAAAAATAATCAGCGACCTTGTCGTGTTTTTATGTCAACGTAATTTCATATCCTCTGTAGAACGTTGATTACATTCGTGGCTAATAATTTCGTGTCACGGCCCACTTTTTTCCTTGATTTTCATTAACATGAACCGGCCACGCTGGCTTTGTCTTTTCATTGAATCATAGTGTCACAATGCCTGATTCGTTAATT